GTACATACGTGTTCAACATGATATTTCCATTTTAGTCTCGAATCTAAGAGCAGCCCTAAGAACTTTGTCACTTCCATTTCACCAATTTTTCTACCATCGTAATTAATATTTAATCCAAAATCTTTAGTGTTTTGCTTAAAATACATTATTTTAGTTTTGTCCAAATTAATTAATAAATTATTATTACTAAGCCAATTAATTATACATGTCAAAGAATTATTTATGTCATTTTCAAGATTAATTAAATTAAAGCAGCGTTATTGCTAGATTTGGAGCTCATTTTTAACCGTTTTCAAAGAGGAGGAGGTTTTCAATTCGGTCGGTATTTGTTTATTTATTTCAGTTACACAGGCCGGCTTACAGAAAAAATCCAAAACGCCTGCAAGTCATACATAAAAACTTCAAAATATCATAGCAGGTATTCATTCCAATTCAATAAAATAAAGTCTTAAGTATGTTTCTTATAATGCTTTTAAATCATATAATCTATAGTGAAATATAACTGTTTTACAATTTACAAGAGTAACATTAGATAATAGAACAAATGGTTAAATACCCAGAGACCTACCAACTTCTTAAATCAAATGAAAGCCTAAGATGTATCTACAAACAGCCTTTCTTTTTTGTTAAAAATATCGCTCGAATGAGGTCTAAACACGATAAGCTTTTAAATTTGAATTAAAAAGTATCATGCAAGTGTCCCTTTAATACCGAACTTTGTGCTTGAGTATTGTTCCGTTTTTTTTGTCACCTGTAAGTATGATAGGGATCTTGCTTGAATATCACTTGCGCCTGCGCAGGTGGGTCACGCGCTCCCCTTCACGACAAGTTCTTTCGAGGCATCATGATCTTCATTGACATATCGCATGCGTGTTATAAAAGATCATCATCTTTTAAGACCAGTAAATAATATTGAAATTAAGGGTAGTACTAGTTTTTAGGGTTTCGTAGTCCTGACAAGGAACCCTTATAGTTTCATCATGTCCGTCTGTCCGTCCACAGTTTTGCTTGGAGACTATTAGCACTAGAGAGCTGTAATTTCCTGGAGATATGTATATCGATCCGTTTGCGAAATATTGAACGCCAAAGTCCTAATTTTTTTTCGAGTAGGGCGTCCCCCATCTAAAAGCTAAAAAAAATGGCTTGAAAAACCTAGAAAAATATTCCTTTTCATGAACTTTTAAGGAAAACTATAACCGTAAAGATACTTTTGTTTGTTCAAGAGTAATAGTCGTTCAACTTTGGTCAAAGATAATTTCTTACCTATTGAAAATTCCTAAGAAGTAAACATTAATAGTGACAAAGATGAAGTTATTATAGCTTAAAAACTTGCATTACAACAAAATCTAAAAACAAAACTATTTAAAAACCACAATAAAATATCATTAGTTCGGCTTCTTCTGTGTTACGTTTTTATAAACTTGAAAAGATCGGCGGTTATACCGCATCATCCCCTTCTCAGGAGATGATCGCTTTAGACGAAGCGAAGCATGAACTGCGGGTGTGTTTTAGTCAGTAAGAGTCTGGCATATTTTTTTTTATAGAGAGGTAGGAAAATGATTCTACCCCACCTGATGTTAAGTGGTGATAAAGTATCCTTGCAGCCGGCTGTAGAGTATCATGAGGATTTTGCACCTGCTCCCCAGCCTGGGAGGAAACAAATAAATATCGAATTAATTTTGACATAGATTGATATTAGTTTCTTAGGTTGTCACGCACATCACTCATTAAATAAAACTAGTTTTACGGGTTAATGCACGAAACTTTATTTTTAAAATAAAGTTTCGTTTATTAACCAGTAAAAACTAGTTTTATAGATTGATATTACTAATTGGTTTTTCTTATTTCTGATAAAAAAAATAAAGACTCCTGCTCAAATGTATTCTGGTAACTAAAGGCATATATGGTAACTACGGGACCCTACACTGCACGTGGCACAACACACACTTGGCCGGTTTTTTCTTTGTTCGTTTGGTTTAGTCATAAAATTTAAAGTACTTAAATTAAGTCAACCTTTTCATGTTCGTTACTAAAATATGTTTTGTGTACTTATCACATATATAAGATATTTTTTATATGATAAAAAGCTGGCTAGTGATTCATTGTAAACAATACAAATTTCAGCGATAAAATACTTAAGTTATTTTAAACTGCGATAAGTATTAAGTAAACGATGAACAGATATAGTTCTTTAATCAGTGTCTGTTGAAATAATAATAATATTTTTTATGTTACCTCTCTTAAAGGGAATGTTCGTTCTTTGGTTTCCTTAAGCTGAAAAAAACCACTATTGAAGAAAATCTCATTAATTTCCGACAATTAGAAAATCATACTTAATGAAAAAAGTTCTTAAAAGTAGGTACTATTAAATCTCTAACAGTCTGGAGAAACTCTTATCTATCCTAAAAAAGTCTGAAAGAGATTGCTTTAACGACAAGAGGTCTCCTTTGTATGTGTGTTACCCTAAGTAATTGTAAATTTTGTGTACTGTGATGTGGTGACTCCAATATGTTCTATAGACAGTTACAGATTTCCTGACAAACCGAAAACTTAAAAGGTTTTTGAAACTACTTTGAGCTTTGTTTTGCTGACATAAAATTTAACAGTTTGTGGTTACCGTCTGTACATTTTACTTTCAATACACTTTTTGCATTAACTAAAGTATCATGAGTTTCAGATAATTGAAATCGGTTAATAGTAACAGACGTACAGGTTAACAAAGAGTTCGTTTCCGATTCAAGTAGGTGGTAGGTGAAGTCGTGGCCGGTGCTTATCGGCAAATTGAATCAATCTGCCGGCACGACGGACACTCACCCGCGCCCGGCCGCCACCGAGTCACTCTTATTACGATCACAATACGGCGCTACATTACGTTCTAACAGTTGAGGTAGTTGTCACATAAAATCGGTCACAAATCAAATCGAATCACTGGCTGCATATTTTTTTTTAAACCTTCACACCAATTAGCCTAGCCCCAAAGTAAGCACTGTAAGGCTTGTGTTATGGGATGCTAGGGTAACGGATAGAATACATATACTGTACATCATCATCACCATCATCAACAGCCCATCATAGTCCACTGCTGGACATAGGCCTCTCCAAATGCAGTCCACTCAGATCGATCTTGGGCTACTCGCATCCAGCACCTGCCAGCCACCTTGCGCAAATCGTCACTCCATCGTGCCTGAGGACGTCCTACACTACTACTACTAATACTACTACTACACATGTATATATGTACTACTGTACATATTTAAGTATATTTATATAGAAATACATAATAAACATCCATGACTGGAGTACAAATGCTTGTATTCATCACACAAACATCTGCCCCCACCGGGATTCAAAGAAACAAGTCTTTATCGCACTCCGCAAATGGAATGCTTTGCCAGCTCACATGTTCCTTTTCTCCTATAGCCCACGATTCTTTAAAAGCGAAGTGAAGAAGCAATTATGCAGGGCCCACCCACGACAATGGCTAACTAGAGCCGAGATCCGAGTCTCAGAGACGCCCTCTAGTTGAGCCGACCCCCTCAGGTTCGAGTGGTCTAGAGGCTCCAGACGGGGAGCAGACTCCCCCCGTGGGGAGACGCCATCCGCCTGGATTACCTCTAGAGGCACTCGCCAATTCTCGGCTTGAGGTCCCCTTAGGATTTCGCCGTCCCCAAACCCGGTGTCACTGTAAAGGTCATCTGCGACCAAGAGCATACACATTAAAAAAATGCAGGTCGGCAAGGTGAGGATGGCTGGTGTGGCAGGTAGAACTGCTGTACCAGCTATCTTGGCATCTGGACTCCATCGTCATTAAATATCAGGGGAGATGGAGTCATCTGACGAACCTATTAAAAAAGAAACACAAAATTAGTCGCAGGCAAAAGTAAGTGCAAAAAAACATCGTCAGCTCAAGCAGAGGTAAGATAACAAAGAGAACTCTAAATATTGTAATGTACTATTAAAACGAATACATAAAGAAACATAAAATAAACGAACACAATAAACAGTTATATTCCCTTAAATGATATCATAATTCCGCCAACAATAAAGGGAAATTTTATCAACGAATTAAAATTGATATAATAAAAAAATGTACAATAAAGTATATTTTTTATATCCTACCATAATATGCTACATTTAACATGACAAATACGAAATTGTAGTTACAATGATTTAATTATATTTATAGTATTTGCAGTCACTAAACTTTTCCTCTCGCCTATTAAAATTCTTACTCATATTACAAATTAACAACTGAGGGAGATGTAATTGAAAGTTCCGCTATAGTATTTAGATTTTTTATTTCATGGCTTAGTTAGTAGTGACAATGTTTTTCAAACAATATTTTCTGTAGGTAAATTCACAGAAAATAAACAAATTTGTTTGATAATTTAACAACGATAAAGTAGCAATACGTAAGTAAGTAAGAAGTTGTTAATAACTACAATTACGTTTTTGGAAAAAAATGCACAGAACTTGATTGATAAACGACAAACGGAAGAATCTGGCAGAACGAAGTATCGCAAGCTATGATGCGGTGTATTTTGGTCGCGGCGTCTTGTCAATGTGTTAATTAGTTTTCGGGCAAGGTTGTGTGGGTTCAAGTTCAGGGAGCCCGGGGTCGACGACCCGCCCAGCCTCCACGCTCTCGCTGCCCTCCGAGCCACCGAGCAAACTTAGCAATATCGCCTTCCTAAGCTTCTGTCTGAACTCATTCTTAACTTGGTTAAAAATAAATACCTAATTTAATTTCATATTACACCGCAATAAAGAAATTAGTGCAAATTTCTGATTGTGAAGTATTGTTAATGCGATATCCCAAGCCCGCAAATGCTGACCGCTCAGTTTAGGTGGACTTTTTAAAGAGCAATCGTCCTAGTATCGTTCGTGGAGCGGCAACGCGAGGCGGGAACCCGCCGGCCAGCTCGTATGTAAAGCGGTTCGCGGAGGAAAATCCATAAAGGCACGCGGAAAACCCTTTTAATATACGGCACGTAAATAAGACGGCGGCGGCGCGGGCGGCGCGGGCGGCGCGGGTCGCGCGGGGAGGGCGGCGGGCGGCGCGCCGCCATTGGTCCGGCGCGCGCTCCGCCCCCGCCCGCGTCTAAAAAAATCCTCGGGAAAAAAGCGGGTGTCGCGCGTCAGTGTCTCACGGACGCGCTCGTGGGCGGACGCTCGCAGCGGAGAGACGGCGCGACCCAGTACCGGCGGCCGCGGCCGCGCCATGCCCGCGCTGGCCCTGCGCGACCAGCCGCTCGACTGCTCCATGCGCCTGCGCGACCTGCCCGCCTGGCCGCCGCCGCGCCCGCACAACCACGGTCAGTAGCCGTGCTCCTCCCTGGACGGGCCTGCACCGTCCGCACAGTGCCTAGTGTACCAGTGATCGGCGCTCACCGCCCGCCAGTTGTTGATAAACAGTGATACGTGATGATCCACCTGTCTCGACCGCGAACTCGCGCGAGCCGCTCCGAAACCGCGGCCCCTCGGTCCGCGCGCGCTCCGACTCTCGGGGGTCAGATTGAGAGTTTATCGTTATCCCTCTAAACCCCGACGTGCGTTCCTTATACAAATCTGGGCTCACGATAGATAATCTGTCAACGGACTTGAGATATGGTACCTTCCTATGTTTTGGCCGTTCGCATTACGTTAATCGAAAGGCTGTTTTGTTGGCCGCTCGTTGAAAACTCTACATTATAGTGCCGTGGGTCCATACGAATAACTTAAAATATGTTATCTTCGTTTAAGTAAAATCACAAGTTGTAAATTAAATAATTTGCAGTCAAATCTCGGTTCTTATACTTATATATATTCATATTAATTTGTGTTTTGTGATGTGCTATGAAAGATCAATCTTGAAGACTCCAGGCCTGAAGGAATAGGTATCTTCTTCATCATCTACCGCATCATCGCTAACGTTAGGCGAAATGGCGGTCACACGTGAGCTAACTCTATGAAAACAATGCTTTAATTGCAATTAACTTTTTCAATTATCATATTAATAATATACCATAATTTCACTTAATAAATTTTAAATGTAAATATTTCCTGAGAAAAATAATGACATTGTAAATTTTTTATTAAATTCCAGTATCTACTGAATATTCTTAATTGCTGTTAAAGTAAACAGATGCAGTGATTTTTTTCCTTCGCACAAAAGTAAATTGTCAATATTCCCGAAAACATGTTCAATTTGTGAGTTTATCTTCACATATGATATTTGGTTATCAAAATAAACAGATGCGAGGAGGTCATTTGGCCATAATCCTGTGTCGGCGAGGTCGTCTCCGCATTGTGATTTAGCGCGGGTCCGAATGCAAGGGTTAGGCCGGTCCCCGGGGCCATCTCGACCCACCCTCCACAAATAATATTAACTCTCTTTATACTCGCCTCTGTCACCTCACCCGCTCTCGCCACTCATGTGCAAAACGATTCCTTTGACACGCCCCACATACACTTCACCTTTTTATTATGGACTCGAGGAGCCACTTTCCGTTTGGGGTTGTAATGCCTTTAATTCAATTTCCAAATCTATAAAATAGCAATGGAACATACATTGCGAATACAATTCAGCTCCGCTAACATTATTTAAGAAAATAACCCTTCTTATTTAATATAAAGTATAATCGAGAAGCTGTGTAAGTACAAAAATCGTCACACGGTTAATAAAGTGACAAAATGACAACCCTGTCTCAATCTTCCCTATTAGTTTCTCCTCACGCGTTCACTTGAAACAATAGAATTGTAATGATGCCAGTGTCAAATTATAATGAAATCACAATTAGATTCGCGGCAAATCACTATATTTGTATGGCAATCGATGTAAATTGTGAATGCTTTCAGAGGTAATTTGACTATAATAATGTCATCCATATAAGTGAATTAGTGGTGATGGGGTCACGCGTAGTTTGCGGAGTAATGACATGTCGAGTGTTTCTCGGGTACTAGTGCTAGGGCCATCCGGCACCGGCGCGCGCGCCCGCTGCGCCTGGGAGCGCTGTGAACTTTACCACCAACGAACCGTCAATGCATAATCACATTTGACCATATACACGACACCTGTTCATATAATTAGCCACCTAATTTTGCATCTGTTACGATATAATGATGGTCGGTCTGTGCAACTTAATGTATATTTAAAAGTGCTTAATCAGTGTCCGTGCAATTTATGGTAATAGAATGACTTCCACAAAATATTATACATATGTAGTTCGCATTCATATTATTATTCACTAGCTGTGCCCCACGGTGTTATCCGCGGTTTATTAGGGATATTTTCCCGCAGTAAAACGTAGCGTATGTGTTAATCCAGGGTATCAGCGAACTCCGTACCAAATTTTATTAAAATCGCTCCAGCCATTTAGACGTGAAGAAGTAACAAACGTACACACAAACACTTTCGCCTTTATAATATTAGTGTGATTTTGATATAATTTTTGTTTAACATAGTTATGACGATTATAATTTATTACAATTATATATATATATATATATATAATTTAATACATACCATTATGCAGCTAACAACAGTTAGAATAAGATGTTGCATATGCATTTATGGCATAAAGTCAATACATCATAGTATTTTTTTACTATGATGAAGTATCGGGTAACGGGCTAGATTGTAACTAGCACTGTACACTAATGAGATGTATTTTTCACCAATTAAATACTGATATCAAAATGTTTCAAAAATATTGAAATTGAAATTTCATTTTAACAATTTTATTGCAATATAGCATTAATGGTATTTAATGATTCAAAAAGTTTGATTCTCTAAAAAGCTTTATTATTATTTTATGATTATCTTCAAAACAGTTGTAGATCTTAAATAGTAGTGCAAAAAAAGGCACTTATAATATGCATTATTATCTTGATATCACATATTATTAGTGATAGATAACATTATTACTATGTACATTATTTTTTACTTTAATTTGAGTAATTTGAATTTATGACGTGGTTTGATATCTGTATGCAACAAGACAATAGAACATTCACGGTGTAACTACGACATGCGTTTGGTTTACTTATTCAAATTACAATAATGTTATCCACTAGCAGCCCGCACGCATCTAATACTAATGTTGAGTATATTAAGGTTATCTCTATGCTTCATAAAACTTATAAAATTAGCTGGAGCCAAGTTTTCAAAAAAAGCTGTAAATATTTTTATATATGGTCGTCTACGCAGTAATAACAGTGGTTCACGTAGCGTGAATCGCGGCAGCGTCGAGTCGCCTGGATCGTTTTAAAATAATTTACATACAGGTGGCCGAGCGGCGAGACCGCTCGCGTTGTCATTAGCGACGAATCAAGCAATGCAAATTTGGAAATTGTCTAAATTGCAGTAAGCGGCCGCGCAGAAGCTCGGTGTCAAACGTTATTACTATTATTAGGCCATCCTCGCTTCGGGGAGCTCCTTAATAATACAACGCACTCGAGTATTATTTTTATTATTGAAATGAGATATATTACCGTCTCTCTGTTACCATTAGGGTCTGTCGTTTCTTAGAAAAAAAAATGTACTGATACTGTTTTGAGCCTCTCCTTATTATGACGATGAAAAAATCAGTGAAAATACTACGCTTGAAACATTCGATGACATATGCCGACTCGAGGGAACAGAACACGCATTTTATCAGTCAGAGGCGCGTTACCACAACTTGATCAGTATGTAGAAAGTTACAGCATTTGTGAGGCAAATTATAGCTGCACTAACTCTGTCACTTCTTTATGAAAGTGCCTTTTAACGTTTTTATCTGTGTCAATTAAATTGGGATACTTTGTAATGCGATTTCTTTTCTGTGAAAATGACACCTAGATATCACAATATGAACTCGGAATTATAATTCAACCAGTATCTCAGCGTGTCCATCTTGCTCTCTAATAGAATCATTCGTATTTTCCTCGCTAAGGTTATAATTAATTAAACTTAATATATGCAAAAATTAAACACGTTGGAGAGGGCTGTTTAACCTTATTTCGGCTTCTATTTTCGGCATGAAAGCTATTTCGAGTATTCTTTTTTTTCTACGAAAATGATCGCTAAATAATTATCACTTTCTTGTCCATCAATTTCTAGAATGGAAGATACTTTATTATAGCCAGTGTTTCTTTATCAGATTACTCCAGCAGATTATTCGTTTGTTTACCTGACATGGATGTGCACAACCGGCGTAGGTTTTAGGACAATAGTAACTTGAACTTGTTCCCTTTTGGTGTAATCGATTTCCGTATATAGGGCAATGTTTGTGGTCGCAGGGAAGGTCTCCGTGACCCACAGTCTGGCGGGCGGGGGGCGGCCGGCGGGGCGGCGGGGATGAGACGCAATTAACCACCCGCGGTCACTGACCTTGCCTCTCATTCTTTTCGCCGATACATCCATGTGATGATCCGTCGCAGGTCATATCCACAGGTGAAGTGGCGCTAATACCGTCATCCGGTAAACAAAACTGGATTATTGTAACTTCGTTCGAGTTACTCGACTTGAACTCGTCAGTTAGTTAAATTTGATGCAATGTGCTCCCGCCGGCACCCGCAGTAACTATCATTTGCATAATGAGCATGCTACAAGTTTGAAATAATGTTTCGTCCAGTAGTCCAATATAGAGATTTAAAAAATTGATAAAGCTAGTCACAACACAATTATGAGCATAGAAGCGGATATGAAATGAGCTCCCCTCACGGTGTTTCCTCAGTAACAAACATAACATGATCCTCTTCAACATGGATTATATTAGACTGTTCCACGAAAGGTGATGGCAAGGCTGTGTCACTGGCATTGCTGATGTCCATGGGCGACAGTGACCACTTAAAATCAGGTGGCCCGTCCGCTCGTCTGGCTTCGAAGAAAATAAAAAAAAACAAAGCAACCCAGTTAATTAATTATTACATTTAAGGGTTGGGTATACTGAGGTTGCTGAGGGATTCTAAAAAAACTAAAGTTAACATGGACAAAGTCACAGGCGGCCGGCTAGTATGATATATTTATTTTAATCATTAGTACAGTACTAACTATAATTTGAAATTGATTTTACTTAGTATTGTTTTATTTTAATATTAATAATATTTTTTTAATAATAATTAGATTATCATCATCATTAGTATTAAAAAGGTTCTCATAAATGAGTATAATATGAAGAGACAATATGAGATGTTTCCAAAAATGTAACATCATTTTATCTATGATCGGTATTCATTGAGACGCCAGAATCTACATAGGAGTAACGAGGTTTGGGACTTAGGAAAATTGCACTTTTCCAAGCTTATCTTTCATGATCATGTCGAAAACATTGTCAAAAAAGCATATAAGGCGTTAGGATTCGT